AAGGGAGCTCACGGGGAAGCTGCTGTGGTACCACCCTTCTACCTTCTCCCTGTTGCCATGAATGCAGATGTGATGGACAGAGCTTGAGAAGCCATCTTAGCATCATGAGGAAAAGGCCAATAAAAGAAACAATCGTGCAGAGCCCTCACACCCAACATTCTGGGGCCACCGTATCAAAGCTGGCAATGGCCTGCCTCAGGACTTCTGTTTTGTATGAAAAGAATAGCTCTATTTGTTTCAGCCCTGTTACTTGCAGCCCAAAGCATTCTCACTACAACATATCAAAAGAATGATTAATATCCCCCGCTTTAAAACAACAACCCTTAAATCAGAAAGGGAGAAGATAGAGCAATGTTCTTCCAACTACACGGACTTGGTGAGGTGAACCTAAGGATACAAATTTGAATTACAGATGAAATCATTAAAATGGGTCAACAGCAAACGCCGTGTGTGTGTGTGTGTGTGTGTGTGAATCAATCACAGAGCACTAGCAACCCCACCCTGGATCACCTCCTCTGTGGCAGGATGTGCTTCCTTCTGTCTGTGATAAGTGACCTGGAACCAAACATAGGACAATGACGTCTCAAGGTCAGTTGCCAGAAAGCACCTTCACTTTAACCACTGGCTCACTCCCACATCTGGATCTCCTTCCTTTTGTCTCTATTCGGCAGCTCTTCCTTTCATCAGCACATGCAAACCCCTTCCAATGGTCTTCAGAAGGCCGAGGTACCACGTCCCCTCCGGTGGGTGGACAGACGAGCCCCGGTTTACCTCTGGGAATGTGCAGCAGCTGTTCTTTTTGGAGAGCCTGTCTCAAGAGCAGACAGCGTCCCTGTCACACTTCTGGGACTGTGGTGTGAAGGGGTCCTTAGGGTGGGAGCAGCGAAGACCAGGGTATCTATTTTCCTTCGGTGGGGGGGAGGGGCAGAGAGAGACGTGTGTATAAAGTGTGCTTAAATGGAAGTAGCCACACTGGTGTTCCTTTATTCCTTCGTCTAGCCTCGTTACAGGGTGTGATTACCAACCCTCCTCTAGGAGGTGGGTGGCTGCTCTGTGGAGTCAGGAACAGGCAGCCACAGCTGTCCCCTCAGCCACACGCCTCGGTGGCCCTCAGGCCCGAGTCCCTCTCTGCCAGCTAACTGCCAGCCTCACTTGATGGTAATTTACCGGAGTGAGGCCAACCGTTCCCTTCACAGAGAGGGGGAAGAAGTTGACTCGAAACATCTTGAACAAAGGAGACGTGGGCTGAGCCTTGGTGACCACGGCAGGTCGCGGGGCACACGGACACTCCAGCAGCGCCAGAGAAGCCGGAGTGGCTCGGGAGGACAGGGCCCTCCTCCTTAGTGACAGCACATTTCTCTCTGCCTGGGAAAAACGAGGAGCGGCCCCTCGGGGAGGCCGGCATGGCCTGAGGTCTCCCCGGGTCTCAGGGGCACAAGGAAGTGAACTTTAACAATTTGTTCTGATTTTTGTTTTGAGTTCTTCCTGCTTTCGATTCTTTTCATTAAAAATGGTCCCCGTTTATGCTTCCTAGCTCTTCTGATTCCTCCAAAGACTGAAGAAGTTCTTCCAGGCAGCGGAGAGTGATTCGGTCAGACTGGGCTTCTGGAAGGCCTGGAGCCTCAAGGCGGGGTCAGGGGCACGCGACCTCACGGCCCGCTGGGGCCCTGCCTCCCACGGGAGCCTCTGCGTCTCCACAGGCTTCCCCAGAGCTGTGAGGCCACCAGCCGGTGTGGGGAGGGGGTCCCCCCCACCCCTGTCCCCGCCAGGCACTCCTTCAGAGGGAAAAGGCACCCAATCCCCGCTGCCCACTTCAGGGGTGCTGACATCAGCCGTTCAACAAATCACCATCATACTTGCTTCCACGTCACATAAATTCTCTGATTCTCACAGCCCTTGCTCTTCCTCGTTTCAGAAAATGGCAGTTCCATCCGTCCATCCGTCAGTTTGTCCTCATCCCAGAGCCCCTGCCGCCCACCGTCCACTCACCAAGTCCCACCAGTTCAGCTCTTCGGTAGTTCCCAAGTCTCTCTAGCTCCTACTCAGGCCCTCGTCATCCGTGATCTGGACCAGAACAGCCTGGTCTGCCGGGAAAATCTACCTACAATGCCAAGGTGATCAACCTGATCATTTTCCTTCTTGGCTTGAAATCCTTCACAGGCCACAGTCTCAAGTCCAGAGCCGGCCTCTGGCCACAGCCTTGCCCACCCCAAAACCCGTACACCCTATTCACAGCCCCCCTCCTGGGGAGTCATGGCTTTGCTCATGCTGCTGCTGTTATGTGGAGGATGACGGAGAAGGGAAATAAATCCTCCCCTGGGGGCATGACTTGGACCGGCTCCTTGTCCAGCGTGCTCGAGGCAGGTGGCCTGGGGTCAGGATCTGCACTGAACTCTGGGGAAATGGCCAGGGGCCTCACTGCCTGGGCAGGGACTGGGAAGAAAGCAAGCTGGAAGGTTAGTGACAAACAGATTTGGGAATAGTAACATCGGTGGAACCCGGGGGCCCAATGGAACTGGAGTCTGAAAATACCCACATTCCACGTGAATGCTTGCAACTGGCTGAAAGTCTGTGTCCCCTTCAAATTCTCACGTTGAAATCCTAACCCCCAATGTGATGGATTAGGAGGTGGAGCCGCTGAGAGGTGATGAGGTCACGAGGGGGGAGCCCTCATAAATGGGACTGGCACCCTTATAAGAGACCCCATAGAGCTCACTTGCTCTCTTGCCAGCATGTGAGGGCACCGTGAGAAGTTGCGGGCCTTCCCCGGAAGCTGACGGCGCCAACACCCTGATCTCAGCCTTCCAGCCCCCAGAGCTCTGAGAAACCAGCTCCTGGTGTGTACAAGCTATCCGGCGTGTGGCGTTTTGTTGTAACAGCCCGAACGGACTAAGACAATGCTCTCCCGAACTGCCCACCTCCGCACCAAAGGGAATCCTTAAAACCAGGGGCAGGAAGGGCCAATCTAGGGACACCCAGGCCTTCTCCTCCTGCAGGCAGCCTAGGGCCTGGGGGCCCATGTGACCTTGACTGCTCCTGCTCTCCAGGCCACCCCAACCTCTGACCTGCGGAGGGCCCACTGCCAACCACAGTGATCCAGCCTGAGCCCCGAGTTCTGCGTCGCACCCCTAAGTGACCAGCCAGCTGCTTAGTGAAAAGCTGACTGCATTGGGCCCCCTCATCCAGGGCAAACAGTGACTCATCCTCACGTGACGGACACTACGGTCTGTCACGGCCATGCTGGCCCCGCTGCTCGGAGACCTGCTTAAGGTCGTCTATACCACACAGTGCTGCCTCAGACCAGCAAACTCACGGCTCCGCAAACGAAATGAAGCCAAGCATTCTTGGCCCTCCCACCTTAGAGAACTCTGCTGGGCCGTCTGCTGGAACACACACTTTCCAGAGTCGTGGGACGTGGTGCTTCTCCTCAGAGGAGAACTATACCCACAATTATACCCAATGACCTAGACTCAAGAAGTCTGCTTCCTTCCCTGTGTGTCAGGGCCCTGGCGAACTGGAGAGGAGGTTTTATTTATTATTAGTTTTTAAAGATTTTATTTATTTGAGAGACAGTGAGAGAGCACGAGCAGGGGGAGCGGCAGAGGGAGAAGCAGACTCCCTGCTGAGCAGCGAGCCGGACTCGGGGCTCGATCCCAGGACCCCGGGATCATGACCTGGGCCAAAGGCAGACGCTTAACCGACTGAGCCACCCAGGCGCCCCTGGAGGGGAGGTTTTGGTACCCAGGAAAGAAGGCTTCTGTGAGCAGGTGGGCACGGGAGGGATGCTCAGGGTGCCACCAGGCCATTTTGGGTCTCTGGGGCTCCTTAGGGAGTGGCATCCCCCTGGAAGTATGTGGAGATGCAGAAGAGGACCGTCTGTGGGTGTCCTCCATCAGGGGCTCATTTCCGGCTGGAGGGAGGATGGCTGCATCTGCGGGCTGGGGCCTCCTTAGAGATGTGCGTGTGTGCACACAGCACATGCCCACGTGCTGGACAGATGCGAGGCGCAAATCCGAGGGCCCCTGCACGGTGGCTTCCTGACCTGTCTTCATCCCCCTTCTCTGAAAGCTGTCTTCAGCATACACAGGGAACCCAAGCAGCCAGGTCCATACTAAGTGACCCGGTCGAGTCCCCTGGAATCTGGGATTTTGTAACCGCCTCAGGGGACGGACCACGGTCTGCATCCTCGGCACCTAGCACCATGTTGGCCCAGCCAGAGTTCGGTAAATATGTTCACGGCAACCGTCTAGAGAGAAACAAGTCCTGAAGCCGAGCTTCCTGAAGGCGGCCCGGCTCCAGCCCTTCCCTTCCCACTCTGCCTCGGATTCTCTGAGACCCTCTGACGTCCTTCCCGTAAGTTCCTGGGTCCTGGAAAGCAGCCAATGTTGCTCTCGAGCAATGCCTTGTCCACACCCACACAGGCTCTTCCAGCAGCCTACAAGGAAACCCACTCGCTCAGACAAGCCCCGGCCCCGCCAGTCAGAGGCGCTCAGTCTGTTCCCGCAGACCTTGGGGTTCTCGATCTGCTCCTCAACACCTTTCTGATGGTCCACAGAGTGTGTCCCAAGCCACTCAGAGAATCGAATCAAAGCTCTGAATCCTTTCCCCGGAAAAAAAAAGCGGCCCGCACTCCAAACACTGTGTGACGTCGTAAGGGCTGCAGGGACTCCAGGGCGGGAGCTGCGCTGTCAGCATTCAGCAGCACCTCCCTCTGCTACTGGGCACACGCGGGGCACAGGGATCGGGGGGCCCCACGCGGGAAAGGAACCACCGGCAGAGCGGTTTGCTGGGGCTGCGACCTCGGGCTCTGCAGGGACACATGTCACGTGAGCTTTCCTTCCCCAACGACGCCTCCACTTCGAGGCACCTGGGGTCTCCCAAAGGGCATCTGGTCGGGCAGCCCTGCGGCGCCAGAAGGGCTAAAATCAAAGACTGGAGAGGAATCCTGCTCGGCAGCGGCGCCGTTCAGACCCCCGGCATCCCGGGGCCGACCGCGTTACCTTTGTTAGCTGCTGCTCCGAGGAGAACCCCAGGCCAAACACCGTGTTGGCTCTGCTGTCAGCCCACTGCCCGAACTTCTGCGACGTCTTGGTGAAGGTCATATTGGGTGTGATGGTGCTGTTTATAATCACCTGCAGGGAAGAGCCAGAAGACCAGGAGGTGAACACTGGATCTGACGTGGACGGAGCGCCTTACAAAGCCTCGGACTGGTGCAGCTGCTGCCCAACGTGCACGCCCCCCTCTGCCGCACCTGCCCCTGGGTCCTCCCGGCACAGGCCATGCCGACTCGGACACACAACCACGGTAAGGGGTAATTTCAGGGACTCGAAAGCAGACAGTCGCCCTGAAATAAGATCTCACAGTCCGCGGGAGAAAGTCTGCCCTAAGGAGAGAACAGTATCCCAAACTGCTGTTTATTTCCTCAAAGCTCCCGCACATCAACGGCCCTTAATGGCCACTAGCCACGCCACACACTCTGGAGGAACTGCGCTGTGCACTTTTTTAAGCACCTGGAGCCACCGTGTGCAGCCTGAACAACTTAGAATCTCCGTCAGCGATGGGGGCTCGCTGTTTCCTGACAAGAAGAAGGTATGCTCCAATCGGGATAATCTGTGGATGGTTAATTGACAAAGAAAGTAACAGTAGAGGTACGAGCTGGGTATAGAGAAGCTGTCGGCCGTGGTGCAGGGACTGGGCGCTAAATGTTGCCCCCTCCTTGGCCTAAAAGGATGAGAGGAGGAAGAGGTTACAGGCTGGAAGGCCAGAGTCACGGAGAGCAGGCTGTCTTGACATACCCGTCTACGCACAGCGTCCCACCGGTGGGGAGCCAGCGGAACAAATACCCTCGCTTCTCCCCCGTGGTCTCCTGCCACCAGCCAGCCCCAACCAGAAGCCAGAGGCCCCGCGGACCCAGGGCTGGAGTCTGCAGATCAGCCTCTCGGAGACCAGAGCAGGGCAGCAAGGGCTCAGAATGAAGCTACAGGGGTAAAAGGAGGATATCCAGCACATGGCATGTTCACGCCTCAATATCTACTGAGCATCTACCTGTCAGGCATTCTGTTAACCAAAGACAAGAGATGGATGAGTCAGGGTTCCCGATCCTCCCGTTGCAGGAAGTCAGGAAGAGGGGAGAGACGTGTCAATAAATAATCCCCGAACGACTGATAAGTGTTAGTAAATAATCAACGATAGGCTCACTCTGGCAGAAACCCTTCAAAGCGCCACTGATAATTCCATTTTTTACAAACTGAAGGTATGTGGCAACTCTGCGTCAAGCAAGTCTGTTGGCGCCATGGTCCCAAAAGCATTCGCTCAGTTCGTGTCTTGGCATCACATTTGGATCATTCTTGTAATATTTCAAACATTTTCAATTAGTGTACTTGTGATGGTGATCTGTGATCGCTAACTGCAACTCACCAAAAGCTCCAGGGACAGTTAGCATTTTTTTGCAATAAAGCATTTTTTTTCTTTTCTTTTCTTTTTTTTTTTTAAAGATTTTATTTATTTATTTGACAGAGAGAAACACAGCGAGAGAGGGAACACAAGCAGGGGGAGTGGGAGAAGGAGAAGCAGGCTTCCCGCCAAGCGAAGAACCCGACGCGGGACTAGATCCCAAGACCTGGGATCATGACCTGAGCCGAAGGCAGACGCTTAACGACTGAGCCACCCAGGCGCCCCACGATTATACTTCCTCGGGAAACCACAGCACTCACTGGACGCGCTTTATTGTGACATTTACTTTACTGCAGTGGTCTGGACCCAAAGCCACAGTATCTCTGAGGTGTGCCTGTAAATATTCTAAAGGATGAACCTACTAGCAGTTTTACTTATTAAGGAAACGTGCGTTCTCAACAGTCAACTCTGAACACTTACAACAGATAAAACAGGGAAGAGAAAACGCTGACTAGCATGGCCTGGCTTTCCATGGTAAGAACTTCAATTATTTTGCTGAAGGACAGACCTTCTGGACACAGATTCTTACCTTAACTAATAAAGAGAGCCAGGCAGGGAGTTAGAGTCACCTCTAGAAACAGAGGTATCAAAGCTATGTGTATATGAAAATGCCCGAGTTTTCTTTTTTTTTTTTTTTTAAGATTTTATTTATTTGAGAGAGACAGTGAAAGAGAGAGAGAGCACGAGCAGGGGAAGAGGCAGATGGAGAGGGAGAAGCAGACTCCCCACGGAGCAGGGAGCCGGATGCGGGACTCGATCCCAGGACCCCGGGATCATGACCTGAGCCAAAGGCAGATGCTTCACCGACTAAGCCACCCGGGCGCCCCCCTACTGAGTTTTCTAAGAAGGCATTAGCTCAAGTATAAACCTTGTTTATGTGGCAAACTAACTTTTGGAAGTTAATACTAAGAGCAGCAATTACTATTTATTGAGCACGTCTTGAGTGCTTTACTTGTATCAGCCCAAGTAAGCCTGTGAGGGGGGACCGTCCCCTCCGTGTCACTGAAGGAGAAAAGGACCTGGTAAGGAGCAGAGCCTAGAGATAAAACTCGGAACCTCTATACAACATGCTTCTTGTTCTGTACCAGACGACCTCCCTTTGTCCCCACCCACGAGATCCCGATGCCTCCACCGCACTCCGGGTTCTTTCCCTCTGACTGTGGTAACTCCTAGAAGACCAAAGTCCACGTGAGTGAAGACACGTGATCAAGCATTTTTCAGATAACTGGATGCAAGCAGGGCGGGTCCAGAGCTCTGCCCGTGTCACCTGACACTATCAGAGATGGGGGCAGGGGAGTGGGGTGTGGAAAATGCGACCTAAACCGGGGGCAAGCATAAAGGAATGCTTCTGGGACCACGAGGTTGGCTGGGGTCTGGCTCAGCCCCCGGGCGGGACTGAAACGGTGGAATCAAAGCAGGCCTAGGGCAGGCGTGTGGCGGGGCGCTGGATCAGAGTGGATCAGGCGATCCCAGAAAGCCAACCCCCGTCAGCTCCGAATTACCAGAATCCTGGGAAGGCAAAGCAATCACCAGACTCATTCAGAAACCTGGATTCGTTCTAGATCTTTGTGCGCTTGTGCCTGGAGGCCGGCCTCCACATCCCCTCCCCAAAGCCCTCTTGAAAGGCAGAGGACAGAGGCGGAGCAGAGTATAGGACACAACTCTGAAGCTCGCCCCAAACACGCTGTCCCGGGTCAGTCAGGCTGGAATAATAAAGGCGAGGGCCCTTGGTATTTCTTTGCAATGAATACTTCCTAAGGCACTTTTTCATACAGTCTTCTATCTCATCCCCATTTTCACAGATGGGAAAACTGAGGCTCAACAAAGTCAAATAACATGTTCAAGGTCACACAACTAATAAGTGGTTAAAAGGAAAATAATGTATGTACTACTTACAAAGCAATGATTAACTGGTTTCAAGAGCTAAATCTGTATCCTGCTTGGGGGTTCATTCAACTTCTCAAATCTGTAGGCTCGATTTTCTTTTTTTTCGGAAAATTCTCAACCATTCTACGAATATTGCTTCTGCTCCGTCTTCTCTCCTCTCCTCTGGGACTCCCAAGTACACAAATGCTAGACCTCCTGAGTGCATCCAACACGGTTTATGTTCTTACCAGTTTTTCACCCTGATTCTTGGTTCTCTCTGTTTCAATCTGGGTATGTTCTATTGGTCTGTCCTCCAGCGCACCAATCCTGGCTACTGATATATCCCATCTGCTGCTAAACCGAGTCATTGAACTCTTAATTTTAGACTTTGCATTTTTTTAGTTCTAGAATGTCCATTTGATTCTTTAAAAAAAAAACATTCGAAGTCTTGAGGGGATATCCTCCTTCCTGTCACCTACTTTGTCCATTTTCCCCTCCATTTCTTTGACTCTATTAATGTCTGGATTATTCTGGAACCTGCTCCTACTAATCTGGGTTTTGCTTCTCTTGATTCTAGGCATATGGTCTTGCCTTTCTGGGGGTCCAGTCCTTTTTCACTGTATGGTGGGAAATGGGTATGAAAGAACTTGTTAGGATTCCATGTGACATTATTGCCTACAAGAGAAAGTTTCCCCCTTTTGTCCGCAGGGAAGTAGGGAATATAGGAAATCCCTATTTCGCTCAGGGACGGAGCTGGGTCAGGGCCCGGTTTCCGTTCTGGTGAGGCTCGCTCTGCCTCTGCCTCACCTCTGTTTTTAGAGCAGGCCCACTAGGGCTTTCAGTTGGGACCCTGGCAGGTCTTTATCTCTTCTTCCCGGAAAGGCTTTAGGGGATTCCATTCTGTTCGTCAGAGGTCCTCAGCTTTGCTCTGTAGCCTCCCAAAATTTAACCACCAAATTCGGCAAACCTTCGAAGGAGAAACTGCCCATGTGTCTGGGGCCGCTCATCCACAATTCTGTCACTCAAGCTCCAAAATCCTTGCTGATCTGTATTTTCCCAGGGGCCAAGCATGGATTTTCAGTCTTCAGCATCGGCGAGTGCCCTCCCCAGGGGAGGGGGCAGAGAGAGGCCCAGCATCGATTCCCCACTCTCTCTGGGGCTTTCATGCCTTTGCTGTTCTTTTCCAGACCCCTTGGCAAGGTCTTCGCTTTCTAAGCACTGTAAACATGAGGGCAATTTTACTCGACCTTTCAGAAACATTCAGCCTGTTGTGCTGTTATCATCTCTGGCAGTCCTCACCGCTCTGGAATTTTAGTCCCTTGTGTCCATGGTGTTTCTATGGTTTTCTTAATGCCTTCCTTTCTTCCTTCCTTCCTTTCTTCTTTTAAGATTTTATTTATTTGAGAGAGAGAGAGAGAGAAAGAGCACGAGTGATGGGGACAGAGGGCAGAGGGAGAAGCAGACTCCCCACTGAGCAGGGAGCCTGACCTGGGGACGTGATCCCAGGAGCCCGGGATCATGACCTGAGCTGAAGGCAGATGCTTTACCGACTGAGCCCCCCAGGCGCCCCTCTCCAACACCTTTCGACTGTCATTGTCTGGGTTCTGCTCTCAGCCGCCAGAAGGACCGCTGCGTGCTGGAATGTATATAATTTACTCAAAAGCGGAAGTGCTGACTCTGGGAAAGTTCGAAGAGATGCAATTTACTACGTGTCTCAGGTGACATTTTCTGCTGTGGGAAGAATGCAACCTCGCACAGATTGCTATTTATAACAAGAAGCAAAACTGTACTGCGAGGCACCAATCTGGCTCGT